TCTTTCAATAATGATGCAAGTCCATGACTCACCCAAAAATGACAAATGGCATTGACATTCATAGTCAGAATGTTCTGCTGGTCAGAGGTGGACAAGAAGGACTTGCCAGACACTACACCAGCATTGTTGATGAGGATGTCAACTGTGCCAACTTCCTTTTGCACCAACTGGGCCACCCTGAACACATCATCCCTTTTGCACAGGTCCACCTTGAACCCATACACCATACTGTCCACATTTATTGCTTTCTGCTCATGCTGCTTGCCAGATGGCTGCTGCTTCAGATATGCTTTCACCAGCCTCACTGTCTCCTTGTTCCCTATGAAAAAAAAATCAAAAACATTTTTACAAATAGAAAAAAGGATAATACTAACCAAATTGTATTTTCCTGGTCAAAAACCTTTGTAATATACTGTATAACATTAGCAGTTCAGCCATTTAAAAGATTGCTCAAGATGTAATTATGGAGTAAGTGGGTAATATTCAAAGACTGAATGAAATATATTCAACAAAGAAATGGCTTGATCAGCATAAATCCATAAAATTTTCAAATTTTACAGCACAGCGCTTTGTTTATTAAAAAAAGAGTAGGGATCAAATCAATTGGCTTTTTCACAAAATTAACTGAACCCCATCTATGTAAAACTTGATTCACTTACAAGAGCAGATATGAATCATGAGTTACAAGAAATAAGCCCAGTCAACTTCACTAACTGAGGTAAACTCAACTATGATTGTTCTTCACTTGAGTTCATATTTTTTTCTACATCAGACTGCATGCAGAAGAAATTGAGGTTTTTTTTTTTTGCCAAGCCAATATCTTAATCAAGAAAGAGTTCAACACAGCTTAAAAAATCTTATAATTGGCAGCATGTAGACATTTAAAATTCTCTGAAATAATTAGAAAACTTCAAAATTAAAATACATGTGCATAGGGAAATGGAGCATAGCATGCAGTTCATAACTATATTTAAATTCTCAGAAAAAATGGATTTTTTTGAGTCCCTGCACACATTCCACTCATGATTTTCAAATTCACAAAGCCTGAATTCTGAGAACCAAATAAATCAAATTCCCATGAAATCAATTTAAAATTTTTCTTTGAAAAAAAAACTGCTTTACAGTATTACAATTTTCAGTCACTAAACTATTGTGTGCATCATACTCAAGGTTAATTTTTTTTTCAAATTTCAGGCTGATATTTCATGTAAATGTCTTCCTTCTGTGTGGTAATGAGTAAATATAGTATTCCTCAAAATAAATGAATTCCCTTCTCCACAGCCATTTTGAGGATCATCAAAGCATTTTCAAGAAATCCATTTAGAGCTTTCTCTATTGAAAGAAATCCCCCCAAAATTGATCTGGTCCCCATTCATGAGGCACTTGGCCTCCATTTTTTTTTTAAATTGAAAAAAGGTGCAGGAAATTGACAAAATGCTCCCCTCTTCCTCATTGAGATTTCAAGTGACAATTTTGCAGCCCTTTCTGTGAATGAACTTAAATTTCCACAATAAAGAAAATGTCCTCAGTTTTTATAAACATTTGCCCTCATTTTCTCACAGTTCAGTACACTTATTCCAGAATTATCAAAACATTCTCATGAAATCTATCCAGAGCTTCCTGATTGTAAAATGGACATTTTCCAAATAAAGCTGGCCTCTATATTCTAAAATGTAATGGTTTTCCTTTTTGACAGAGAATTGGGTATACAGAATTTCATTGACATACTAAGTGACTATTCTGAGTTTCTTATTGTGACTAAACTTTGAAATTACCAACATAAAGGAATTTAAAATTAGACCCTGAGATGCAGACATGATTGGTGCATCAAGAAAGTCCTGATGTTGGAATGTCCTTAAGTTGAGTCTTATTTTCCCAAAGACTTCAATCATAATGTATTTAATTGGTTTTCTTTTTTTTCAAAAATTAGAAAAAAAGGCCTTGAAATTTGTTGTTGTTGATACAAATTGCTTCCCTCAGCTTCAAATTGTAGGGGACAACAGTGCTGAACAAACCACATAGAATCTGATCTTTGGGTATCAAAAGGAGATCAAAAAGCAAAGTCTTGCCAGAATATGCACAGAAACTCTGAAAAATGAAGCATAAAATTGGCTTTCTTATGATTATGAATTAGAAAGAATTTATGATGAAATATTTTTTTCCATTTTTGGGAATATATAAGTAGCTTGATTTCTTCAAAAGATATAAAATTTTTACAATGAATGTTTCAATTTTTGGGAAATTTTTAGAAAAGTGTCTACCCAATAACTCAAGCCAATGTCCTGATTTTTTAACACGTTTTTATTAACTCGCTTTCTTGTCCGTTTGTTTGTCCAGATCAAATTTTGCAACTCAAATTTCGCTCACTTCCCGACTAGCTAGCAAGCTGAAACTTTCAGGATAGCTTAGAAACTGATGACAATGCAATCTTTTGTGAAAAGAAAAATTTTAAGAATATTTTTTATAAAGAATAAAATAATTATAGTAGATTAAAAAATTAATCTAAAAAACCANTCCCAAGTGACAATTCTGCAGCCCTTCTTGGCCAGTTCCAAGCACAAGAGTCTGCCCATCCCTGAGCCACCTCCAGTGACCAAGGCCACTTGTCCAGCAATGTCCTTCATCCTCAGGCTCTTGGGGATGAAAAACAGGACCCATGACTCCAAAATGTAGTAGATGATGAGGAAGATCCCCACAACCAGGTCCAACAAAAAGCTCATCCTGAATTTTCCTTCAGCTTTTCACCCACAGAACACAGCACACACAAACACACACACACACACAGGGGGTGAGAAGCACAAAAAAAAACTGACAATTCTGCTTCACCTCTCACACACAGGTGCTGAAACTCAGTTGCCTCACCTCATGTCACTGCAAAAAAAAAAGGTAACAAAAATAAGCAAATGTAATTCACTGATGAATTTTGCTGATTTTTACTTGACAGAAAAATTTGAACATCTTCTCACAAAATGGGAGCTCAACAATGTCCAAGACCTATTTTCGCCTCAGTGACTTAACTTTTTTTTTTTTTAATTCAGAGATGCTTCTAAAAAAAATTATCAACAAAAAACTGGTCATTTATTATCAAGACCAATACCAAAATTTAAAAACCAACCAACCAAAAAAAGGTTTTCAACGCCACAAACGAACTGAACCGAAATGAAAGTCATCGTTGGCACCTGTCGAAAAATTGTCCAGACCCAGTACTTCTTTCATTCAGTACTCGAGAAAGACAGAGAAATCCTGTCTTTCCCCAGTACAGTACTGAGAAAGACTCCTGTCTTTCTCACGCGGCGTGTTTCTGAGAGAGAGAGAAAGTTTTTTCCTCACACACTAAAAAAAATTGGGCCAAGAATAGGTACAAAAAAATACTTAAAATAAATAAATAAATACAACACTTGAAATACTGGGTTCCAAAAAATAGTTTGCCGGAAGTGAAATCAAACTTACAAGACTTTTTTATTGAATTGGTGCTCTCGAAATTTTTATAAAAGAATTGGAAAATTATTTTTTGCTTTCACTCACTACGTTTCTTTAAAAATAATTTATATCCTGATTTTCAAATAAATTCGCTTCATAAACCGGAAATGCAAAAAAGTATCACTTGCAAAACAAATATGAAAATAAAAATCCAAGCAAAAATTTATTTTTTAATTTTCAGTGGGATTTATTTCACACCTTGGGTCTGAAATTTTTTTTATATTTAATTGATGCTTTGTGCTAATGAAGGACAATTTATTCCAAAGCTGGAAGTGGAAATGAAAAGTTTTACATGAACAAATTTCTCACTTTCAACACAGAAGCTTTCATCAGCATAAAAGAATTTACAATGAATAATGAAAATAAATTATGGATATACTTTCATATAGCCCCAAATATGAGTCAAGAATTCCTAAAAAAGAAATTCAATTCCATATTTTTAAAATTTTTCTAAAGAATATTATCCATGTTTCAAAATTTTGTGTCACATTCGTAAATTCCATGTGTATTAATAACTTGAAAATTACAATATGCACTCTTGCATATAAGACATGAACTTTCAGTTTTAAGATGCAAAATAATCCTGCTTAAAAATTTGGGACTCATTATAATCCACCTCAGTTTTCAGTGAAAAAAATTTTAAAATGTGAGAATCACAGCAGAAAAAAAATTTATTCATTCATCCACAAATAAAGTGAGAATAAAAAAAAAAGGAAAATGCCCATGAGAAATTTCAGAAAATTTCCAGGGCAAGTTTTTTTACTCAAGTAAAACACAAACCCCATTTTCTGGTTACAAATAAAAAAAGCCTGCACTGAGATCTTGTGTGAACACTGGTGCATGTACAGAAAATCTCCAGAAAGATTTTTCAATAACTAAAACAGGAATTCTGCAATCCTGAAAATTTTTTTAATTTCTCATCATACAGTTCACTGAAATATCAGTCTAAAACACTCTTGGAAAGTTACCAAGAAATCTGAGCATCATTCATCTTAATTTTTAATTTGTCCCAAAAACACATCAAGAATACCTCTCTTTCTTTTATGCAGTGGTAAATTTTTTTCTGCAATCCTGCCATCACTAAAAAGTTTTAATTTCTCATCAGGTCTTTCAAAAATATCAGAAGGCCACACAGATTTAGGACATCCCTTTCATGAAAATTCCATACACCTGATTCATTTCCTGAGACAATAAAAATCTTGTGAACCATCAATAAACTATAAAAAAACCCATTTCCAACACAACTAAAAACACTAAAACACATTTCCAGCTACCAGATGGACCAATTAAATCATCTCATTCAGCTTCACAGATCAAAGTAGTGAGTGTTATTCATTTTACAGTCACTCCATACAAACATTTTCAAAATTCCATTTATCTTGTTTTCCCACTCATTTTTCCATGGCGCCCATTTGTGTGGTTTGGATGGTGTGGAGAATGGAAGGACAACCTGGGCTCTCACAAGCGCAATCAAACTCTCAAGGGAAACAACAAAAACGAGGTCACTTGAAGGAAAAGGAGAGACAGACAGAGAAAGAAGAGAGACAGACAAAGAGAGAAAGAAAAAATAAAGAGAGAGAAGCAGATATAGAGAAAAAGAAAAATAAAGATGATCTCTGCATGGAAAAAACTTCACCCAAAAACTGCATAATCTTTACAATTGAGATAAAGATAATTTAAATTGTGAATTTTTTTCACATAGAATTTGAAAAGAAACACTCAAAATCATATTCAAATCAGCTTCCATTTGAAACTGAAGGGAGGTCATGGTATTGAATTATTGATCAGTATTTTCACCCAAATGCAGGGGTGATCATGACTGTACAGTAAAGTAGGTCACTATTTGACACACAGAAATTAATATAGTATAGCAAAAATGTTTGAAAACATGACAAAATCCCCACATTGGATTGCCAGAAATTCTTGTAAGTTGAGAGAAAACTGAGTTTTTTTTTTCTTCAAAAACTTAACAAGGTACAAGAACCTGGTTCCCCATCAAATTACTTGGATGGAGCAACATAAAAACTGTTCCAAACAATGTGTCCATTATCCAGGACACCTTTAGTTCACAAGCAATTAGTTCATTCAGTTTTACAGTCTTTTTTCCACCAACATTTCATCAAAGTGAATTAACCTAAGACCTACTGAAAACACCCCAAGAACTCAGTTTCCCACCAAGAAACAAAAGCAAATTAAAATGTTTCAGGCAAAGGATTCATTATGCAAGAGACCTATAGCAGCTTCAGCTTACATGCATTTGGAGGTTTACAAGCCTTTCTCATTGCTTTCCCACTCAAGCCCATCAAAGTCCATTAACTGAGGCACCACTGAAACCACTCCAAAAACCAGGCTTCCCATCACAAAAAAAACAAAGCAAAACATAATCTTTTTTGCAAAGTGTTCTTTATCTGGTGCACCTTTGGTAGCTATAGTTTATGTTAAAGTCCATTAACTGAGGCACTACTGAAACCACTCCAAGAACTCAGCTTCCCCCACACACACACAAAAAACAGAAGCAAAANTTTTCCACCAACATTTCATCAAAGTGAATTAACCTAAGACCTACTGAAAACACCCCAAGAACTCAGTTTCCCACCAAGAAACAAAAGCAAATTAAAATGTTTCAGGCAAAGGATTCATTATGCAAGAGACCTATAGCAGCTTCAGCTTACATGCATTTGGAGGTTTACAAGCCTTTCTCATTGCTTTCCCACTCAAGCCCATCAAAGTCCATTAACTGAGGCACCACTGAAACCACTCCAAAAACCAGGCTTCCCATCACAAAAAAAAACAAAGCAAAACATAATCTTTTTTGCAAAGTGTTCTTTATCTGGTGCACCTTTGGTAGCTATAGTTTATGTTAAAGTCCATTAACTGAGGCACTACTGAAACCACTCCAAGAACTCAGCTTCCCCCCACACACACAAAAAACAGAAGCAAAATGAACTGTTTTGGCAAAGTGTTCACTATCCTGGGCACATTTGGTAGCTGTATTCCTCTTGAAGTCCATTAACTGAGGCAGTACTGAAACCTCCCCTCCCCCCAAGAACCAGGTTTCCCACCACACAAAAAACAGAAGCAAAATAAACCATTTAGGCAAAGTGCTATTTGGGGCAGCTTTGGTAGCTATAGTTTATGTTGAAGTCCATTAACTGAGGCACTACTGAAACCACTCCAAGAACTCAGCTTCCCCCACACACACAAAAAAACAGAAGCAAAATGAACTGTTTTGGCAAAGTGTTCACTATCCTGGGCACATTTGGTAGCTGTATTCCTCTTGAAGTCCATTAACTGAGGCAGTACTGAAACCTCCCCTCCCCCCAAGAACCAGGTTTCCCACCACACAAAAAAAAAACAGAAGCAAAATAAACCGTTTAGGCAAAGTGTTATTTGGGGCACCTTTGGTAGCTGTAGTTTCTCTTCAAGTCCATTAACTGAGGCACTATAAAAACCATCCGAAGAACCCAGTTTCCCACCACAAAAAACCAAAGAAACAAAATCATTTTTGCAAAGTGTTCTTTTCTTCTTTATCTGGTGCACCTTTAGTAGCTACAGTTTCTGTTAAAAGTCCATTAACTGAGGCAGTACTGAAACCACCCCAAGAACCCAGTTTCCCACCCCAAAAAAAACTGAAGAAGAATAATTATTTTCTGCTAATAGTTCTTTATCTGGTGCACCTTTGGTTGCTGTAGTTTCTGTTGAAGTACATTAACTGAGGCAGTTCTCAAATCACCCCAAGAGCATGGTTTTTCACAAAAAAACAAAAGCAAAATAAATCTTTCTGGCAAATTGTTAATTATCCAGGGCACCTTTGGTAGCTGTAGTTTCTCTTGAAAGTCCATTAACTGAGGCACCACTGAAATCACCCTCTTCAAGAATTGAGATAACAATGCTTATCATGGCCTTCTTGAAAATGTTTGGGACAAATCAAAAAGTTGCATTCCCAATTATATTTTTTAATTGAAACTTCACAAATAATATTTTTAATTGAAACTTCACAAATAATCTTTTTAATTGAAACTTCACAAATAATATTTTTAATTGAAACTTCACAAATAATATTTTTAATTGAAACTTTACAAATGCACATTTTTTTCAATTTAAACTTTGGGGAAATTATTTTTTAAGCACCAAAGGCAATAAGGTTGATTACTTAAACAAAGCTCATCATGGGCTATTCTAAATGTCTGGGACAAAGCAACAAATTTCAATTGAAACTTCACAAATGGATATTTTTAAG